GGAGCTCCTGGAGTTTATTGAGTAGGGGGTATGACATGGCCTGTGATTTTGGAAAATCATTTTGGCAGCTGTGGGCAAGATAAACTGGAGCAGGGAAAGACTTGTGGTAGGGAAACCAATTAGGATACTGTTGCAGTAGTCTGGGTAAGAGGAGATAAAGGTGTTTGGTTGTAGGAGCAAAGATAGGGGATAGATATGAGAGATGTTATAGAGGGAAAAGCAACAAGACTTGGTGGCTGACTGGAATATGTGAGGTGAGGAAGAGTGAGGATTTGAGGTTGGCCTTGAAGTCACAAACAGCAGCAAATCGTGTGCTTCCCATTAAAGCAAGTCACAACCATCTAATGGCTTCCCAATTCAGACATACCTGTTACTACACTACCCTCAGAGAAGCAATTAGAGGACTGATTTGGCAGGCAGTCAGCTAAGAAGCATTTGTTAAGTGCTCTCTAAGTGCCAGGTAGTGTGCTAAGTGCTATCGATACAATTAAAAGCCAAAACAGGGTCCCTGACTTAAGGAGCTCACTTTCTAATCACAAAGACAATATGCAAAGAATAATAATGTCTATATGACATATATACAATATAAACGAGACGTAATTTCCAAGGGAATGCGCTGAGTGAGACTGGAAAAGGATCCTGCAGATGATACATCCTGTATGAAATACCTCTTTTAATGCTGTCATGGACTAACCTAAACAGTTGAACTATAGAACCTAATAAAATTTCCTGCCTGGAAACCTGATGGACACACATTGAATATAGGCCTCCTCCCAACCCAGACCTAAATTGATTTCTAAAGTAAAAACAAATGTCATAATAGAAGCACACAAAGAAAAGGCCAAAATGTGAACTGTTTGCCTTTATAAATAAGGATGGAAGGAAAATGCCTGAAAGAAGGAAGGGGGGGAGGCCAAATTGAAGATGTCACTGTATACATATCATCCATTTATTTTTATCAGCCTGGCAGATTGGAAGTTTTATAGGCTCTCAATCTCTTTAGGCAATTGAATAATAGAAGAAAGCAGAAGATAGGATTTTCTCTTATGTCTGGTTTATGGTGTCACCACCTTACTCCACCAGGCAAGTGCTTTCTACATTTATCTGCAAAAGCCTCAGGAACTGGAATGTGCATACACAGGAATGAGTATCTGTTATCTGGCCTGGGGGAGTAACAGATATGGTCTAGATAAACTCACTTGAAGTTGGTTGGGGGTAAGAAGACTTGGCTTCCGGCTCCAGCTCTCTTCCACTAACTATGGCTATGACAATCAGCAAGTTAATTTCTTTACTTCAACACCATTCACCTCACCTATATATAGGCATAATAATGTCTTTGCCACCTTGATAAAGTAATAGGACTCTTGGGCAGATCAAATAATAAAGCACTTGGTGAGAATAAAAGCATGATAAAAATTCAAGTATTGAAATTATGAGACAGACAGACAAACAGGAGAAAGAGAGGAAGAGGGAGGGGGGAGAAAAGGGAGGGAAAGGTGGGAGAGCAAGTGGGGAGAGAGGAACAGAGAGAGAGAAGGAAGGAGGGAGGAGAGAGGCAGGAAGAAAGGGAGGTAAAGAGAGAGAGAGAGAGAAGAGAGTTGGTTGGATGGAGAGCCTAGCTTAGTGACCCCTATTCTAGACTTCTCTGACAGATCGTTCCACAGGTATTGATTCAGCACAATCACGCCTCACCTACCAAGGATACTCTCTGAATGTAGGTGTCATAGTCCCTGCTAGGGAAGCATTTGTTTAGATAGCTAGGTGGTGTAGTAGAGACAGAGTTAGATTTGGAGGAAAGAAGACCTTAGTTCAAAGCCTGATTCAGAAAACTAACTGGTTGAGTGACCTTGGGCAAGTCATTTAACCTCTCTCAGACTCAGTTTCCTTATCTGTAAAATGAGGATAAATAATAGCACTCTACCACACAGAATTATTGTGAGAATCAAATAAGACCATGTGTGTAAAGAGCTTTGCAGGCTTTAAAGTGCTATATAAGTCCTAGTTATTATTATTAACTATTACTTCCCTAGACTCCTAATTCTTCTAATATCAGGAAGTAGAACTATAAAGGCCTTCCTGTAGTTGACTCCATTTGATTTCATAGAGTGAAGGAGGGAAGAACAAGGGAAGGAGTTGAGATTTTCAATTGCCACCTCCTTACCCTCCCTCATCAAAGAGGAAATCTCTGCTCAGTCATTTATTTGCTACTTCTGCTAAATAAGTATGGGACTGCAGTTTATGAAAGAGAATGTTCCCTTGGCTAACATAATTTGTGGCTCATAAATAGCGAGATCAAATGGGCTGCAACAGGGTGAGATGAAAGCAGAGCCCTCTGCTGTTGACCCAGAGGTCTGGTTTATATTTGCTGGCTTACTGTTTGCCTGGGGAGCTCTGGTCTAACGAAGACAGCAGTGTCCTGTGATTTACGGGCTGTTGTCTGCAAGTTACAATGATTAAATTGGGAGAGTAAAACACCTGCACACAGCCTATTAGAGCTGTCTTTAATCAGAGTATATAAATACATTACCACCAGGGTAAGCCTTGAACATGGCAGGAGTTCTCTTTAACCCTTGAGTTGTCAATTAGAGTTGTAGTTTCTCTTGCCTGCCAGGTTTTACTGTCATGCATATTGAATGACAACCAGCAAAGGGCTAAGGAACTGTCCTGTTGCATATACTGGACAAGAGTTTCCTTGCTGCAAATGCCTGCTGATAAAAGCATATTCTTTTGGTTGTGCTGTATAAATCAGTAAGCTCAGAAAGGAGTCACTTCATTTGTGTCTGACTATTGACAATGCCTGTATTCAAGGGAGAACCTTCCTCCTTCCCAGTACATGCTGTCACTTCTGCCCTTGAACCACTATGCTATACTCTCAGAGTGGATAATGCTCTCTCTGAGGCAACATGTTGGGTCAACACAAGAGGCACCAATAACTTAATACTTTGAAACTCCCAATGGAGAGAGTCATGTGCTCCTATATGGAATTATAGAATTTTAGATGCATAAGGACCCTGAACAGCAGTGAAGGAAAGATTCCAATAGGCAGAGATGAAGGTAGAGCCCAGTCTAGTCATAGGAAGCAGAATGAGCAAAGACACAAAGGTAGGGCAGTGTGGGATGTATCAGAAGCATGGAAAGCAGTTCAATTCGTCTGCAGGGTAGAATGCAAAGTAGTGCTAGAGAAAGCTGAAAAATCAGGATAGAGCTAGATTGTGAAAAGCCTTGAACACTAAGATGTCTGGGCTTTATTCAATAGGTAATGGGGGGTCACTGAAAGTTTTTGAGTAATGGAATTCAAAACTATGTATTAGAAAAAGATAAAGCTGTCATTAAAGACTACAGATGCTCTTAAAAAGAGTTAACTTACTCATCATACTTCCTCTGCACCCCTTCCCCGAGTTATTATCAATCATAAAGCCAATTAGTAGTTCATGTAGCAAAGTAAATATTTACTAATAGTGCTTAAGGTAAATAGTTTTGTTTCTTTTTTCCAATTTCCATTATCCTTGTCTTGGATCAAAGAATGATGGACTTGGCTCCAATAGAAGTAGGAAATGTTAACTACACAGTATGTTAGCTCTAGGATTTCCCTTCTCTAATATGCTTTTGTATGTATATGCAGCTTTTCCAGATGACTAAATGGAAAGAGCAAATTAAAACTTTTTTTTTAATAAGCAGAATGAATCTCATTAAGTACTATTTTCACTAAAGTTACTTTTTCCTTATTTTCTTTCCTGATATATAGGGTTTTTTTTTCTTCTGACATATAGTGTTCATCTGAGATTTTGTCCTTTTCCCAAGTCCAAGGATTTGGCTTCTCTTTCCCTAATGCTTGGCACTGATTATATAAAATTTGGGTTTCTATGCACAGATAAGTTGAAGGCTTTCAAGACCAAGAAAAAATCTCCTTGTTGCTATTTTTTATACTAACCACACCTCAATACATCAAGGATGGGTGATTTCATCTCTTCCTCAACAAAAATCCTAACCTTACTAATCCCTAGCAGATGGCCTTCATGAGTTGCTGTGGCCAAAAAAAATCATCATCTGCTGGTCAGCCTTCTGGTGATGACCTTTCCTAAGCATGGCTGGGCTGGTTTTCAGATGACAAACACAGTCCATTGTCAATGCAATACTTCTAGCCTTTCTGTCTTGGTAGGACTGGCCAGTAGACTGTGCTTTACCAGTATCCATCAAGAATAATACTAACATTTGACATCTGTAGAGTGCTTTCATGGTTATAGTCATTTGCATAATATAGTATCTCATCTGAACCTTCCCACAATCTTGTTAGGTCAGTCCTGCCAGTCCTATCATCTTCATTTTACAGATGAAGAAGCCAAGGCTCTATAAGGGTGTGACTTCCCCAGGATTAGGAGATTAGTAAGCGGGGGGGTGGGGGGGGGGGGGGGGGGGGGGGCGGGAGGGGCGGGCTTCAAATTCAAGTCTTCCTGACGCCGGGTCCAGCACTGTATTCCATGAAACACTAAAAAGCTTTTATCAAGCACTTACTAATGTTCTCCAAAGCCATGGAAGTACTTAGCATCACCTTGATGACATGATAAGAAAAATGACTTTGAGGTACACCAACCGTAGAAACTTGAAATTTTTAAAAATCCCTCTATAAACGGTTAAGGGGAAAAAAAACCATCTTCTAAAAATAAAAAGAAACCACAAACTTTGTAAATAAGTAATGTTCTGGAGAGAAGGCACTTTTCATCTGTTTTAATTTCTAGTTTCTCTATAACTCCACAAAGCCACTAAATAGCAATGAAACCTGGGTTTGTATGAC